ATTGGCAGCACCATGAGAGATGGAGAAGAGATCAAGGTAGTTAATAGTTACAGCTCCAAAATAAACACTTTTGGCACCAGCAGTCAGGAAATCAAAAGACAAATTGCATTAGGTAAATCTGCTCAAGGGGCCTTTCCAGAGTGCTAAGAAGCAACGATGTCAGTCTAGAAACTAAGGTGCACTTGATCCAGATAATGACAAAGAATAATAGAAGCAAAATTGACGCCTTTGACTTGTGGTGCTAGAGAAGAGTCTTGAACATACCATGGACCACCAAGAAAACAAAAAGGTCTGTCATAGAGAGTGTGAAACCAAGTTTCTCCTTGAAGTCTCGGATTTTGAAACTCCATCTCACATACTTTGGCCATGTGGCCAGGAGGAGCTGATCCTTGGAGAAGAACATCGTGCTCGGAAGGGTGGATGTGGATAGAAGGTTTAGGAAAGGAAGACCTGGATGAGATGGATTGATATAACACTAGAAATGGGGATAGGTTTATCAGAGCCAGTGAGACAGGCTCAGGACAGGGAAGACTTCAGAACTATTATACATAGGGTCACTATGAGTAGCAAGCAACTTGACAATACATGGTACCAACAACAACAATCAAACCAATTCTCTGTGGAAACAGCATGTCTTTTTCTCTTGTAAATCTTGTGTTATAGTGGAAACTTTGAGTATCTGCATCTATAAGCAAAGGTCCAATCCAGAGTACACCATTAGATAACAGTAATCAGCACTAACACAAAATTAAGTATATCCTCTTTATCTGGTTGGGTTCTGGTCAACACATTTCCAGCCATCAATGGCTAGGTCCAAATGGATGTGAGCCACAAACTCAGAAGTCCACGCTTTTTCCAGTGTTACCAACTGGCTGGTCTCTTCACTCAACTTTAACCTCACACGAGCTAAGTCAGCACATCAGAGATCCTCAGAACTCCCTGCTACACAACCAGCAACATTTCTTCATTTATCCATTCATCAACTAGAATCAAATGGCTACCCTGAGATAAGCATACTCACTGGCTTCCATTAACATTAAGTCCTGGAAAGGGGGCTCTGATAAGTATCAACTTTGTCTTGCTTTGGCTTATTGACAAAGTCTCTCTTTTTCTGTTTGTCTTCTTTTGACTGTAATCTTTTCAGAGTATCAGATGGGGCTTGATCTTTTTTTTCCTCTAAGTTCCACACTCTGTATGAAATTCTATTGCTTAATAATAACACTCTTTTAGAGCAAATTTCCTCTTTTTGAATATTCAATTAATATTCAACTGGCTTACATGATTCCTCTAAATTACAATATGTCCCATCATTATAATATCCAGTAACCATTAACATTGCTACTTGGAAGAATGCATCGATATACATCAAATAGTACAGATTTTCCACAGTCTACAATATTTATCTCAATATAAAAAGATCCACTATCGTTAAATCCACAAAAACCACAAAGATTTTTACCATATTTTTAGCATTAATTCAACAAAAACTTCAATAGTTTTTACAGCATATCTTAACATTATATCCATAATATGCATTTTTAAAATACACCTCCACATTGTTTTATAAAAAGAAGGGGGAAAATCATATATAGCCTTTTAAAGAAATTCTTAGTTTCATCTTCATTCTCTACCCTTTTTTCTCATGCCATGAAGCATCCTCTCAAATTTTCTTTCTGTCTTAGTAGTAGCAAAAGTAACCTTTTGAGTTTTCTCCACCACTTTGTAGAAACAAACTATAACCATTTTAATTATACATCTTCCCGAGCACCACATTTATCAACTACAAAGACTTTTATAGCTTCAGTCTTAGTCATAAGATATCTCTCCTGGGTAACTGAGCTTTCTTTCTCTTTATGGAAAGTTGTTGTTGGTGGTGGTGTTGTTGTTATGTGCCGTCGAGTCACTTGCGACTCATAGTGCCTCTATGTACAACAGCTCTACACTCTGCTCTGTCCTGTGCCAATAGCACCGTCTCCGATACACCCATCCTGATTACCCAAGTCACTGAATCAATCCACCTCCTAGAGGGCCTTCCCCTCCTGCGCTGCCACTCCGCCCTACCAAGCATGATGTTCCTCTCCAAAGACCGGTCCCTCCTTACAACATGTCCAAAGTATGTTAGAGGGAGCTGCAGAATCCTTGCCTCCAAAGAGCAGCCCAGTTTGACCCTTTCCAGTATGAATCTATCTGTTTTCCTAGCAGACCATGGTACCCTCAATACTCTTCTCCAGCACCACAGCTCAAAGGCACCAATTCTCCTTCTGTCCTCCCTAGTCATTGTCCAACTCTCTGATGCATAACAAGTGATAGCAAAGACCATGGCCTGTATCAGATGCACCTTAGTTTCCAGAGAGACACCGTTGCTCTTCAGTACTTTGGAGAGGTCCCTAACAGCAGACTTTCCCATGGCAATACGTCTTTTAGTGTCCTGGCTACTGGTGCCGAGAGTGTTGACTATGGAGCCAAGCAAACTAAAGCTGTGAACAATCTCAATCTCTTCACCATCCATCTTTTTTTTTTACCATCCATCCTAATGCTGCCAATTGACCCAGTGGTGAGAATCTTTATGTAAAGAGTTGTGATAAAAGCAAATATAAGAAGCATTATATTTAGGATCTTTTAATCGTAATAATTTCTATAAACCGACAATATTAGTGATACAAAATCATTCTCCTTCATGTTCTTCTTTTTTCCTTAGAAATTATTTTTTATAAATATCTTTGTCATAGTAAGTAAAGCTGAGGTGCTTACCCGTGTATCATCATATTATGATTTTTTAAAATTTTACATGTATTTTTTTAGTTTGGTTTTACTTTTTATTTTGTATTTGAAGGGAGGAAAATGTGTATAAAACAATTATCCTTTTATCTCTTTGATTCTATTTTGTGTCACCTTAGAGGTAAAGAATTACATTGTCAATCTCAAGGTCCATTGTTTGCAAACACGAGATTTCTCAAGGGAAAAAGATGAGAAATCTCCTCCTGTATAATTTACTGCCTCTGAAAGCCCACTGGAGGGTCTATTATGATGCCAACTCAACAGTGCACAACAACCCAATCATAGAACTCATGAATTCAGTGCCTTTCAATTTGCTCTTATTCATAGCCGACTTTCAAGTTGCTTTCTTGGATTATATATCACATGGAAGGAGATGGCCTATCTTTCTCCCATGAAGCTGTGAGTGGATTTGAACCACCACCAGAGAAGCGGCTTGTCTGGGTTGCACTGCCACTTTCCACAGACTATACCATGCCACCAATGCTTTCTACCTAAATATCAGGATAAGTTAATTGGGATATCAAATACTTTTTTCCCCTAAAGAAGAGATGTTGCCATTTATTTGATGGAGCTTTATTTCTAAAATAACACACATTAATACATACATACATTAATTTTCTCATATGGTTATTCCATATTTGGAACATGCATGTGTGTGTTAATAAATATTACAAAGAAATAAAAATTGTTGCTATTGCTGCTATCACTACTGCTCAACCTCATTTCTCAGGTTTCTTACACTACGGACAATATTATCTAGTTGGAATTGACTGATAGCTGACACTCAAGTGAACTTTTTTGGAGACAGTAAGTCACATGGCAGAAGACTGTCCATCTTTCTCCTATGGAACCACAGGTGGACTTGAACTAGCAGAGAATTGCTTTAGCTTTAGTAGCACGGATTCCTACAGACTAATGCTACCTTAAAAATCTTTGCCCTTGCTTATAACACTTCAAAGAGGTGGTAGAGGCTAGTGAGAGGTCTATAACTCCAAAAACATAGATATTATTACTTCTTTCTTCACATTTTCATCAAGTAACACTTTTTTGACCTTTATTGTGTGACTTCAGAGTGTCATCATATATTACATAATTAAATAGTTTCCCAGCACATAAATTAATTTTTTTAGTTTTATAAATTACATTTGATCTGTTTCTACACAACATCAAAAACTTGTCTAGATCTCAACTAATATTCATAAATAATTATTAATATACAGATTCACACTCTGAATTTCTATCTAAATATGTTGACCATGTAGCCGAGAGAGATCAGTCCTTGTAGAAAGACATTGTGCTTGAAAAGTTGAGGGACAGCGCAGATGAGAAAGATCCTGGATGAGATTGAGTGACTCAGTTATTGGGGTAATGAGGGTAAATGATTCAGAGACAGTGAGACTGGCTCAGGATAGAGCAAGGTTTAGAACTGTTGTACATAGGGTCAGAGACAATTCTATGGCACATAATAGCAACATATAGCATAATCCCTATTTTTTTTCACTCAAAATATATTCAAAGAATTATGACTGTTTAAGTTCCAGCAATAAAATGACAACTTTGTTTATCTCTTTTCACCTTTTTCTGACTACTATTAAAATGAGAACATTTGTTTTATGTCTTTGAAAGCTAATACCAAGTGTCATCATAGACACACTGTAGGGTAGACTCTATCTCCCTGTAAGTTTCTAAGGCTGTAAATATTTATGAAAAACAGACTTCCTCATTGCTCTTCTACAGACCTACTGGTGTATTTGAATAGTCAACTCAGCTGCAGAAAGCTTTAATCAGAGCATTATGAACTTTTTTGTTTCAAGTCCATCAAGTTGGAAGAGACCAATAGCAGATTGTAGATAGTAGAAGAGTATTATTAACTGCCTCTGAAAACCCATTGGAGGATCAGCTATGGGCCGGTTCCAATTCGATGGTACTCAAAAAAACATCAATATATCAGTAAATTATAGGGAAAGAGATTGCCCGTCTTTCTTCCATGGTACAGCTGATGGTATATACCAACATGCTTTTGGGTTTACAGTAATTTATTGCCTTTGAAAGCTCACTGGAGGGTCAAATATCTATCTATCTATCTCTATCTTTATAGCTCTATCTATCTATCTAAAATATGAGAAATTTCCTATAGTACAATTTATAGCCTCTATAAGCTATAAGTTGATTCCAACGTTATGGAATATAGTGACAACAAATTTGTGTTTAATGTATCAATTCTATTTTTCTTCTGAAAATACCTTTTGACACCAGACAATTTTGATGGCCTTTTTCATTTCAGTATTCCTCAGAGTATAAATTAAGGGGTTAAGCATGGGAACAAAAATAGTATAAAACAGAGAAAATATTTTATCTTCAGGAAATGTAATAGGAGGCCTCAGGTAGGCAAAGATTGAAGGGCCAAAAAACAAGACAACCACAGTGATGTGAGAGCCACAGGTAGACAGGGCTTTGCGTCTTCCCTCAGCTGAGTGATTTCTCAAGGTGAACAATATAATGACATAAGACCCAAACAAGAGAACAAAGGTTACTAAGGCAACCATACCTGAATTGGCAACTACAAGGAAGCCAATGATATAGGTATTAGTGCAGGCAACCTTCAACAAAGGGAAAATGGCACAATAGTAGTGATCAATTTCATTAGGGCCACAGAAAGGCAACCAGATTATCAAAGAGAATTGGGAAAAAGAATGGATAGCTCCACCAGTCCAAGCAGCCAGGAGAAGGAGGTTGCATTTTGTCCTGTTCATGATCATCATGTAGTGGAGAGGTTTACAGATGGCAACACATCGGTCAAAGGCCATAACTGTGAGGATGAAGACTTCAATCATCCCAAAGAAGTGCATGGAGAAGACCTGTAACATGCAGCTCGCGTAAGAGATGGTTTTGGTTCCCATTAACAGATCACCAATGAGTTTGGGTGTCACACAGGAGGTATAGCAGATGTCCACGGAGGATAAGTGACTGAGAAAGTAGTACATTGGTTGATGAAACAGGGAGCTGCATCGAATGGAGACAAGGACCAGAAGGTTTCCCGTCAACAGAGCAACATAGCAGAGTAAGAACAACCCGAAGCACAGCAGTTGTACATTCTGACTATAGGTAAATCCCATGAGAATGAATTCTGAGATATTCCTCCGGTGTTCCATGTAAGGTAATCTTGGGATTAGGAATGTCTGACCACTGAGAACTCCTACTCGTCTTATAATGTTTTGTATATTTCCCTCAGATTAAGCCAAATCCTACTTGAAATAAATTTTTCATCAAAATCATTTTTATGTGTTGTGTATGCAACTTTTAAATCATGGAAAGACCTTGAGTCTTTCTTTCTTATTAAATTAAGGCTAAAAAAGAAGAGTATGCACTAATTTCTGATTCATCCCCAAACTCCACTAAAAGACTTCAAGACACAGAAACTAATCCTAGTTGTCATCTGAGAATTACCTGTATGCATCTTTTGTATACTATGCACAAATAGGTAGGCATCTGAAAGAAAAGAGAATAAATGTTTTCAGGTAAACATTTACAATGTGATCACAGTAACAAAAAAAAAAATCATTACCGATCACTGTAAGCAATTCATACGTGAGTAATATTTATTTGATTGATGGGGATTATAGTTGGTTTCTCAAATGTCTTTCCCCCCCAAACTATATTATATTGTTGAACCTAAAGATACATATTTTTCATATGTACATATATTGTTTTTAGGGAGCTCTGGTGTCTTAGTAACAAGGAATTGTGCTGCCAGAGCAAAGGTATAAAGTTTAAGTGCACCAGCTGCTCCACAGAGAAAGATGGACAGTCTTGTCCCCTGTGACTTAATCCCTCTGACAATCTGCAGGATGATACTCTATGTAACTCAACAGCAACGACATTTCTTTTCTAAGCTGTAAAATACTTAATATTGTTAATTGAAATATTTAGATTGTAAAATATTTAATATTGTTAATTAAAATGTTTAGATTATCAAAATTAAATGAATGATGGAACTTTCATTTTTTTATCATTTTTAATTGCATTTTTTGTTCCCCTTGGAGTTTTATTTTTATGCCAGGTTTCCTTCCCTTAATATGATAGGGACCATGTTCAAGTATTTCCTACATAGGTGCTATTTTTTTAAAAAGAAGTTGCAAATAAAAATATTTTGCCTCATTTATGAGCTACTTGGTTGTCAATGTTGATAATGAATGCTACATAAAATAACACGGCTCAAAGGGTAGACTGCATATAGTCAATATAGAATTCACGTGAGTTTTCTACTTTAGCCTACGTCAACTGTGGCAACAATTGCTGACTCCCACAGATACTAATGATTCAAAATCTTTAGAGGCAATGATATGTACAAATTGACAGCTCAGCATCGTCCAAATTAAGCTGACATTTAACTGGTAATGTTTGAGGTGATTTTAGATTATAAACCAATTTGGTTTTAAAATATACGGCATTATATAATTAAAGGTTAGTTCTTGGTGTAAATTTAGCTTCATATCTTTGACAAATGAGTAAGTGACATTAAAAACGTAAAGCCTCAGCATTGTTATATTACATGTCTAAACTCTCCCAAAGGTTTTTAATGTCTTAAAAACAAACAAGGCCAAAAACAACCCTTTGCAGTGTTACATTCAAAGTACTCTACAAATTAAATTACCTCCATCCACCAAATCGATTCTGTTTTTAAAAATTGCTTTCATAAATGGAATATAAAACTACCCTTTACTTATGGAATTTTGAATCATTTTATAAAATGTATACAAACTAAAGTGAATTTAACACTTTTAAATAACAAGCAAAGATAGTTATGATAACTTAAATGTTGATTCATTACAATTATAAATTGTGTTTAAAAATATATATGAAAAATTGAATGATTTACTCAAATCAAAGCTGATATAGAGTATCGCTAGTCACTTATTTCAATGTGTGATATTTAGGTTTTATGTAATAGCAGTTTCAAGTGTAAGAGAGAGGGGGGAGAGAGACAAAGATAGAAGCAGGGTAGAAAAAGTGAACTTTTAATAGAGGAGTAGGAGATGATGATCCTGTTGTTTCTGTTGATATTATGTGCTCTTGAGTCAACTGTGATTCACAGCAACCATATGAATACTGTCTCTGAACTTTGCTCTATCTTGAGCCAACCCTACCGTCTCTGACACACCTGCTCCCATTACCACAGTCACTGTGTCAAACCGTCTCATCCAGGGTCTTCCTCTCCTGCACTGACTCCTACCCTTCCAAGCATGGTGTCCTTCTCCAAGGAGTGGTTCTTCTTGGCAACAGTATGTGAGACAGAGTTTCAATACAGAATAACAATAGACAATTTCCACAACTAATTTTGAAAAAACCTTTTTATATAGTTTAACTTCTGGTATGGTTTGTGACAAAATTTCCAAGGGAAAAAAGAGACCTGTTCAGAATAACTCCATTTACATTAGCTATTAGCTTTCTCACTTGGAAAAGACTGACCCTCTGTAAACTTGGCTTGAAATACCTATCAAACAAAGATTTAGGTCTATCACTCAGCTAAATAGTGAGGGACATATAACAATACAGTATGACTGATTTTTTTAATATAGGTGATATATAATTCTACATGTGTATGTGTCTATCTTTTTTTTTTCTTTTCCTTTCTGTCTTTCTTATCCCCTTGGCGTTTTTTGGGTTTTTTTTTTTTAGCATTAGGAAACTAGTTCAATTGTCCTGAAAGTAGACATATACATCCTACATCATATTCCATAATGAATTATACAACAAGGAAACTGCAACATAGATATTATAGATGGGCAATGAGGACAATAGAGGGCAATGAGGGCAATGTGGAAATAGACTGACAAAATGAAATAGATCTGGTGTTGTCATTGATTAAGTGGGCATTTAATATCACATCACTAACCTATCGTTTTAATGCTACTAAAATTAGTATAAAATGTCATTTATAACCTTTTGTAGTAGTAGTTAATAATCATCGTTGTCTTTCATGATCCAAGTCAGCACCATCAAAACTGATTTTACTAAAGGTAAACTAACATTGCCACAAATATTACAGTTTCTATTGGTGGTAGTGATAGGTAACTTACTACAAACTTAACTTTTTTAATGAGTCTAGACAATCATGCAGGAAAAGAACTTTGAAAGTTGGAAATTTCTGCAGAGGTTAGTATCTGGAAATTGTTAGCCATTTGGAAATGTCATTACTTTTAAATGTACTTGCCAAAAATAATTATTGTATTGTTTATGGTTTACAATAAAAACTAAACTCATACCCTCACTCATTGTGGTTAAGCCCAGTCAACTCATAACTGACCCTCCAGCAGGTTTTTGAGTGGCTGTAAATTACATGTAAGGACACTACACATATTTCTCCCACAGAACAACTGATTTATCCAAATGCCAGAGAGGAACCACTTTAGTAAACTTAGGGATGCAACTCTTTATGGACTATGTCACCTTTATTACTAATAAAATAACTCTGAAAATGTCACATTTCACTATATAACTCAAAAGTAGCAGGATCATATCAAAACCAAGAATATGAAAGTACTTACCTGCAGAGCAATTTGGGGTGGTTTTCTTGTTAGTTTAAAATGAATAAGGAAAATGTCTTAGTTGCTTATCTCGTCTTAAGGCAAAAACCAATTTGCTAACCATTCATTAGCATTTTTATCTGAAATAAAATGTTGGACTGCAACCTGTTATTTAAGGAAAACTTGGTCAGTTTCTGAAAATGTTTTCCAGATTGCTTGCCTTTAATTATTGGAGAATTATACCACTGTTTTGAAGACAAATGGAAGATGTAATCACCCCAGAAACTGCTATGGACTCATAAAGAATTATGTATTCATTCTTTTTTCCCTATTAAAGAAATTTATTTCAGTGGTCTAAGATATTAAATGCCAACACAGCTTCCCGACACTTGTTTAAAAGTCAAAGGGTCACAAGATAATTTTGAAATATCAGCTAATTTACTGTGATGCATATAAATCCTTGTAATAATCTTTTTGTGATTATTCCAATAGTAAATTTGCTCTGGAGAAGCCAAATATAAACCGAGAAGAAAATGTAAACATTTTTGATTGAAAAGTGTAGGCAATAGAATTTCCGGATGCATTTGTTAAACAATCTTCACCAAATAGCAGTAACTAGCTGTCCAAGTTTATATTCTTCATATATCTTGTGGGAATTTTCCTTTTTTCCTTCTCCATGATGTTTATTTCAGGTTGTAAATTGACTTCATCTTTTGCATAGAACAAACTCTGGACACAGTGTCTCTAGAGGGCCCCACTGTTGTTCATACCCAGAGAGGCTCAGGAAATTGTGCCAGCTCTGGTTTGTGTGTCCTCTAAAAAAGCAGACTGGAAACTTTTGTAAGCCCTTGGGATCTCAGGATTTGCCCTGGAGGAAGTCTTTATTTATGAAGAGGGAAGAGAACAAAGAAAAGAAAAGAGAAAATGTTATAGGATCTCAAAACAAGCCATGAAAAAGCAATATAGAAGTTTAAAAATAAGTTAGACTTTAAACTCATGCATGACCCACTGTCCCAATTTCTCCTTGACTACCTAGCAGCTTTTACAACAAATTATTGCTGCTGAAATGGAGAACTGTATAGTGAAAAAGAAAGCCAAAGAGAATGATTAAAGCAATTTATTATTCTTGTTGACAAGTGGAACAGGAAGTATACTTCCTCTTGATTGAAAAAGAGCATGGAACTTAAAAGAAAAAAAAGAACCAAAAAGATAGCTAAAACAATGGACAATGACTAAAGATTACAGAAGAAGAACCAATAATGCCTATGAGTTGTGGTGCTGGAGAAGAGCATTGGACATCCCATGGAATTCCAAGAGAACAAACAGATCTGTCCTGGAGAGAGTGAAGCTGGGTTGCTCCTTGGAGGCAAAGATGGTTAATGTCTATTTACCATACTGTAGGTTTATCAGGAGGGGTTAGTTCTTGGAGAAGAACATACTTGGAGGGTCAATGCAAGAAAGGAAGACCTTCAATGACATAGATTGGAACAGTGACTGTGACAATGGGATCAGGTGTATTGGAGATGGTAAGGTGGGCTCAGGATAGAGCAAGGTTAAGAGCTGTTGTTCATAGGGTCACTATAAATCATCATCAACTTGACAGCACAGAGCAACAACACAGCAAT